ATAATTCTTGTGTTATTTAACCTACAACTTGCAACAGTAAAAAAAGAAACATTGTACAGTTGCTGGAATCAACTATTTAACCACTTCCTCAAACACATCATTTCAACCCAGCTTTGGTGGCTTTACCACCTTGTAGCACAATGCAACAGTATTGCCAAAATGTATTCAAAATGCATATTGTCTTCTCTCTACTTTCCTGTAAGCTAAAACACTTGGATTAAATCCTACCAATAGACAGATCTATCAAACATTGAATATTCAACTATACTGCAAATACTGCACTAAACATTTCACTTCCCAAAGATGTTGAGCTTTATAGTTAGAGGGGAGGTCTTGCCTTCTGAGATCAAGGTGCCTCTAATATGACAAACTTGGCAAATAGAGATCAGAGCTGAAGCAATTCTCTATTGTGGTTTGATACTCAAGCCAGTAAAGTTCAAGGTACTTCATGGCATGGTTCATGATACCCAGCCTTTCTGGCTCATTAATAGGACTTGGACAGGTAGACATGTTACGATAACCCTGCAAACCAAAGCCCAAACAGGTTGAGAGGTTCTGGTTGGACAAACAGCAAGAAGCTGTTTGACAAAAGTATATTATACTGAACAAAGTCACCCATCAGCAAATTGTATCAAAGAAATAAAAGCCCCACCTTCATAGATGACATATGTTTCATCTGGGTTTACTCCTAATAAGATATGCATCTCATCTAATCCATTAAACATTTATTGAGTATAAAATACTGCATTTAAAAGTAAATTATTCCAGTACATTTTAAATATATCTTCAATGTCATCATTGGCTATATGCATATATCATATATAATATATATACACACACATACGTATATATATATACACATAGTTTGTGTAACCTCCTTCCAGTACATGTTGAAGCATGGCTTTAATTGTTGCTTAAGTAGAAAATCAGGCAGCTAGCACACTGAATATCAACGTAACAATGTTACACTATAAATCATGTTATTTTCATGTCAGCCAATCTATAGGGATTAGAAACAAGACCAACAAAGCACCCAAAATATCCTAATCGAATATATTCCAGAAATCCAACTCAATATATTTAGGGTTTCTTCACTCAAATAGGGCCATCAATAAACTTGAGATAAGATCCAAAATACTTTTATTCCACGGTGGAGAACTATAACATAAATTAAGAGAAACACCAATTTCGTCCTGGCAGCAAAAGTGTTTGTCTGCACCTTGACTACATTTTAAAAATAAAGTGAAACAACACAGGAGGATGGGTCTAATAGTTTACTCGGCCAAAAATATTCTTTTCCATGGCTTTGATGCATATGAACCACTGGGCTGTGAGGATAACCAGAGCAGTTCAAGAACCCAGTGAACTCAAGCACCAAATTTAGGGCAGGAAAGAAAAATCTGCAGATTTGTCTTGTTTACACCAACATGTAAATCAATTATGTCACCCTGTATCTTTTACAAACAGTGTCTGACCTCTAAGGGAAAAGCTCCAAAGGGAAACATAATTTGCATGAATTATCATGTAATGTTAAATTTTATAACCATTGCCTCTGTCAATCTCCATTTCCCATGTTTTAAGCTTTGTTAAGGCTGAACGCAATGAAAAAAATGGATATAATGGACAGGACATCTCCTTAAAGATAATGAGTGATAACTCCTGAAATATTATGAGAACACAGTTAACTGTTCTCACTCATGAGTTTGGTGAAGCTGAACTTCTATTTTAATCTGCTTCTCAGTTGACATTTAGTTTGTAAAAACAGAATGAAAAGACACTTCTTTCAGTTTAAAGAACCTTCATTATTTTACTTGAAGTGCATTGGTTAGTGAAATTGTACATTACAACCACAAATGAATCAAGTTTTATATTCTTTGGTCAGCATTTCTGGTCATCAAGGTTAGGGATGTCACTACTAAAGAATCCATGCACCAAAATCTGCATCAAAACTCACGGGTTACATTTTGCAGAGAAAAGCTTTCTTCACCCTGCCCCAACAATATCCCATTCCTTCAACTCTATCACAATATATCCCATTTCCAAGCATTAACAGTCATCCCTTCACTGACCCCTATGCATTTGCCAGGAAACAAAAACAACAAATAAACAAATAAAATTGAAACACAAAAATTAGACATTGTGTCTGAAATCATCAGACACCAGATGCCTCAGCTGGAGGATAATTCACTACCGCCAACTTAATTCTAAGGAACACACAACCACACCTAAAAACCTTAAAAAGAACTCCAAAGCACTATTGATGTGGGTCCAGTCAAACTGGCTCGTTTGCAAGAATTGAAGAAACAGACAGTCACTAGAGACTGGAATTCTTCTCACTCCGCATCTGTTACCCTGCAAGCCAAAGCCCAAATGGACAGCAGTCCTGGCTGGACAAGTTGCGTCAAGCTTACCATTGCTCTGCAGTGGTAGGTAATAATATTAATACTTGCATTTGATTTAGCGTTTTTTACATTGGAAGCTCATCTCAAAGTACTTCACAGGATTTCATGTAAAATGTAGTGACTGTGTTTTGTGGTCGAACAAAGCAGCCAATATGCACACAGCAATGTTCCACAAACAACCAAAGGCGAATAACCAATTTTATTTGGGGATTTTTGGATACCTGGAGAAACTCCCTTCTCAGGCTACAATGTTTTAGCTGGTTAATTTCCAGTAGTAGCCAATGTTCAGGGATTTCACATAAATTTCTAATATTTTTTTAAAAAAGCCACTTCTAATTCTAAATAAATTACTACACATCTGGCCTGTGTACAGTGTACATCAGTTCAGCTCTGTGGCATATAAATATAGCCTGACAAACAGAATGAAATGGTCATATCTCCATTTGTGAGAATGATTACAAATGTAGCTAACTTGCAATGAGTTATCCAGTTAGCCTTATTTGTCGATAAACGTATTGTGTCAAACTACCACCAAACTCACAACTTTCATGCAATGGTAAGTGGTTCGTCAATTACAAAGAGTTTGTTATACTGTAAAATACCAATATAAACATAAATATTAAACACTAAATTTGAAACCTTTATCTTTTGCGCAATGTAAGAAAACGCAAAATTTGATTTTTATGATCACTTCAGAAAGAACTGATGACCACCAGGTTTTGTTTGCAAATTAAAATTCTTAAATTGTGAATATTTTAATCTAAATCACCTTTTTTAAAAATGTACACACCCAAGCACACACTCAAAGAAGTTCTGAAATATTTAACAATTTGACAGAATACTTAAAGCAATCTGTTTGATACCATAAACATTATAAAATATTTTAAACGGTAAAAAAAAATGTATTCGAATAAATATAGCTTGCACATGTGTGCCTACAAAACTCTGCTTAAAGGTTCCATTGCCACTAGTTACAATGGCCCTCACATCAGATGGAAAAAGCAGTACTTACTTATATTCTGTGCATTTGCCAAATAAAACGGGCTATACAAGAAAGCATTAACAAACCATGTTGTTGACTATCCCTCAATTTAATTAAAAACATTTAATAAAGTTTTAAATGTTGATATCACTTCACTAAAGGTAGCTTGGCTAATGAAAATAACCCATCGTTTGTAATATGGCTATGAGCTACTGTTGCATATTAGCAAAATTAGGAAAACAGGTTATTTAACTGAAATGTTTTATCAAAAAGTAATATTCTTTGGTATTAGCAAACCTAAAAACATTCAGATTGCTTCATTTAGGATCTAATTAGGAATTGAAATACCAGGAAACTTAATTATCTATACTACTAGTCTGTACTGTCATCTTTGCATCATAAACAAGTACAATATGGTTATCACACATGAAACACTTAAGTAATAGATTTACAATTCAAGATCACTGCAGTGATAATCAAGGCAACATTTTAGCTATTTGTTTCAGCTTCAAAACTTGAGATGGAAGGTTTTCCTGTTTAAGGCTCTATTTCAGCATGCTGAGTCAAATAGAAATAAAGAACTTGGTTAAGTAACCAACTAGACTAAAATTATTCGGAAATGAACTACAGTATAATCAATTGTACAATTCATAGCACTGCTGAAAATGTACAGTAGTAATAATTTCAAATTAATTCCAGCTGTAATATTTTCCACCAACACCTCCTGTGGGTCATTTTTCCTTCATCGTATTTATTCCTCAACTTCCTATAACTGCAGGATCCGCCAACATTCTGCAACGGCAGTTTGGGCCACACTCCATGAGAGAATCCATCTAAACGCGATCTTGGACCACACAATAACATTTCACTGACTAACAGAATGTAAAAAGGTAACGATTTCGCACTTCTTAAATTTAAATTGAAGCAATGGCTTGTACTTCCAACTAAGAAAACTTTGCACCAAATGTGGATGAAAATCCCTTGCTCTCTTCGGTGTTACAGTGTGTAATTACCTAGAAAGTGATAATATAGAAGTCAAAACACGAATTTCCAATGTTCAACTCAGTGCACAGAAATGTAGTTTCCACAGAGCTCGGGTGCACTCATTCCGCGTAAAAGCTTTGAAACGTTTTGCTCCTGGTCCTTGCATTTTCCAGCTGGTTGTTAGGGGATTGCAGGAGGCAGCTCCTCTTCCTTATCTCCATTCTTAAAATTGACCGGATTAATTTATACGTTACCCCAAAAAAAATGTTGAAAATAATGTGTTCGAATCCTACTACTCCTTTCTCCCTGTGCAGCAGACTGGATCGTAAAATTAAGATTCAGTATTCCCTCGCATTATTAAAGCATATGATATCGTGAGTTAAATACGAACAGATAGCAATTAGTTTGCACTTTTATCGAAAACAATTTTTTTTAAAAAATAGATGCGCACCACGTCTAGCGATCAAACGAACTCATTCATAAAACTTCCAAAGGCAGATCTCTGGGATCGGTGATGATTTGTAAACAAGACGCTGTGAGGAGAAAACGTTGATCGCGCATTTAAGTGCAGCACGGAATTATTTGCTCGCATGGATCAGGAATATTATGTTGTCAATTTCACCACATCCTACCTGCTCTCTGGATATGCAAGGCAAAGATGTCCTTCTGGGCATTTTGCAGCGACCGTAATAGTTGGGTGATGTTTCTCCTAAAGAAACACAACTCGATCTCCTTCGGGGTTTGATCACCGGGATCTTTTCCTCCGTGGTTATCCTGCGGCGGGCTTCTCTGGGAAACAAGTGGTCGAAATACACAGCAATGGCAGCCCCCGCCACCCCGACCCCGCACGCCAGGAGGGGTCTCAGAGCTGCCGGTAGAGCGATCAGGCTGGTGATGGAAGCCAGTCTGACCACTCCGGCGAACAGTAAGATCAAGACGCTCTGTTTCACTTTCAGAGTGGAGAGTAACGTCAGGAACCCCACGCATCCCAGCACCACGGCCGGGGCCAGCAACCTGCAGAGGAACAGATGCTCGTCGCCGAACAAAACTTGCACCACCAAGAAATCTCCGAGATAGCAACATGGTGGCAACGCCAGGAGCCAAGCCGTGCTGCATTCCCTCTTACTCTTCCTCAGATAAAATGTCAACCAAAAGAAGGCACAGCAGATACTGAAGAGCGGGCTGACCGACTGCAAAACCGCCGCCCATGCCGACTGGAAAGTCTGCACCAGGGACGAGTGGCACTCCTCGTCCAGGCATCTCTTGGCCACGATGGACAGGACGAGTATTGCAAAGGCACCGCAGCCGCCGCGGAGGTAAAAAGCTGCGAGTTTGGGACGGGCTAAGCCGAGCCTCTCCAAGTTGCACCACCTGCAGACGGAATAGCCGCTGTCCTGCTTCAGCGGAGTCACGCAGCTCTTCACATAACCGTTCCGGCTGCTCTCGTCCTGGGACTTGCTGTTGTGCGTCGACGACGACGACGAAACCCCCTCGTCCCTCATCGCCATGTTGAGTTCTCTTCCCTTCTCTGTTGTTGTAGGTGTTGTAACACTCGCGTGTGTGTGTATGTGTGTGTGTGAGAGAGAGAGAGAGAGAGAGGGGGAGGGAGGGAGGGAGGGGGGTAGTGAGGGGTGGTGGGGGGGGGGGGGTGTTCAGTTCACTTGCTCACAACACACGAGAGCGAGAGCAAACGAGAGAGAGCATTTCGGGTAAAAAAAGAAGAAGAAAGGAGGCGGGAGGGGGTAAGAGAGAGAAAGAAAATAAAAGCCCCACACATACACACGCGCACAACACCCATACCCGCCCGCCCGCCCGCTCCACTCACTCCCTCACACAGACAGACAGACAGACACGAAGTCAGTCAGTCAGTCAGACAGACACATTGAACCCGGACTCACTGTCGCCTCCCGCTCCGCGAAGCCCCTGTTACTACAGCATCAGCAGCGCTATACCCTCCTCACACTCACTCTCTCTCTCTCTCTCACACACACACACACACTCACTCACTCACTCTCTCGCCTCCTCCTACGGAAGCGCGCGCATCTCCCCTCGCCGCGACCGTTGGGCGCTCGCGCAGTCGCCCGAACGTTCTTTCTGTTCTCTGTGTGTGTGTGTGTGTGTGTGTGACCGTTGGCCGCTCGCGCTGCCCCTCTCTCTCTCTCTCGCGTGCGTGCGCGCGCGCGCGCTCTCATCTCCCTGCCCGCGACCGTCGGGCGCTCTCCGCAGTCAGCGGCGTGAAGAACGTTCTGTTCCGTGGTGACGGTCGGGGACGCTCTCGCGCCGTCTTTCTTTCCCTTTCGCTCTTTCTCGAGCGAGCGAGCGAGACCGCGCGCACGCGCACGCACGCACACGCGCGCGCATCCATCCGACCGACCGACCGGCCCGCCCGCCGAGCTCCTGCCTTCCACCGTCCCGGAGCGGATCTTTTAGGCTTGTCCCGGAGTTTACGATACGGTTGTGTATCTGTGTGTGTATGTGTGTGTGTGTGACCTTTCTTTCTGTGTGTTTGATGGAGGTTTGTTTGTTTTTTTGAGGGGGAAATCATCGTCCCGCAAGTATAACCTTCCGTACTCGATAACGACGTCTCGAGCTGCTCCGGGGGGTAACCGCTCTGACAAGTGTAGTGACTGTACGTACACCCCCCCCCCCCCCCCCCAGACACACACACACACACATCGGTTTCTGATCTCCCCCCCCCCCCCCATCTCACCCCTCGCCAAAAAAAAACCACTTATCACTTAACTCCCGGACAGTTCAATATGAACGGCCTCCGGGACGGGGTTTAAATGTGAAGAAGGTAAGTCCTTCCCCACCACCACTCACTCACTCACTCAGTCACTCTCCCTCTCTCTCTCTCCACACACGCACATACATACACTCCTTTGCTCATCGTTGTAATCGCTGCCACTAACTCAGCTCCCGACGCGGGGTTTCTTTTTGAAAGCCTCGTCGGGGGGGAGGAGGGGGGGAGGGAGGGAATCGTTTTCCACCGCTGTTATTTACTCAGTTCTCCTTTTCAAACCCGTACGGTTTTGCGTGTGTTTACCTCGGTGTCTTGTCAGCGTGAGAGGGCGCACAGACACACACACACAGACACAGACACACACACCCCCGGGGGGTGGGGGGTGAGGTCAGTCCCCGCCTTGTCATTTGCAGGTGCGGAAAGTGCCCATTTTTTTTTCCACACGAGCATCAAAGAGGACAAAAACCTGTACAAGAGTGTCGTTTTCGGAGCATTTTCAACGCATAAACTGAACCGAGACTCGTTCAAGATGTTCCAGTGAAACGAGGCAGATTTTTTTTTCTTCTTCTTCTCCTTCGGATCTGGCTTACTTTTAAACTCGTGTGAGGGTAATATTGCCCGTTGTTGTGTTACGTGTGTGTGTGTAATTGTTTGTAAAAAAAAACAAGAAGAAAAATTAGAACAAGTTTATAAATGATGATAATAATAAGGATTTGATAACAAGTTTACTGCGTGAAGTATTCAGAATTACTACCTCGCTCTTTCTGGCCAGGAAACTGCAGCAATAGCAGCAAGCATGGAAAGTACAGCAATTGCTGCTCGCATGGAATATTTCCTCATTACGGCCATCTGACTTCACTGTGCAAAATGTAGAAATACCCTGTGGTTTGAAATACTACGTTGACGGTTGATGACGAGTATGGGAACTGTTCCTCTGCCAGTAAATGTGTGTGCGAGACTGTGAACTGTGAAGTCGAGCTGCTGTGCACTTTCTGTGGCCTAGCTGCAGTCTTTTCGGTCCAGAAGATGATCAACTGGTGATTTTTTTTTAAAAATCCTTTCACCCGCACTGGGTGTTTTCATTTTGACATACATCAATACTTCCAATCGTGTTTGAACATCCGAAGAGATCGTGTTACAAAAAAAAAACTTAACCATCCTTTCCAATCAGTCCACATATAAAGGATTTAGCACTGGAGGGTCAGATGCATAACACAGTTTCAAGAACTCTGAGAAACACTCATATTATAAAAAGCTACTAAATGGCTTTGTATAAGAAGCTCGTGTTACATTTGTAAGGATTTGGACATATAGTAACGTAACGAAAGCTCGTTTTGAGTTTCTTTTTTAATTCTGCCATTGTGATATACATTTATTCAAAGCTGCATATGTTGAAACTCTGCCTCATTATTGAAAAGTCTAATATAGCGAGTTCAATTGTCTTAATATTATGCAGAGGTCGGCAGCACAGCTTTTAATGAAATTATATGTACTATACAAGCCAACCAAACAAAGAAAAGCTTATTCTAGTGACTTTAACAACACAGAAATCGCTTGTTGATTGTAAAAATATATTTTTGATCCATAAATGTTTCATCATCTCGCTAACCAGTATATACTTTTACATTTCACGAAAGTATTACTTCAAACCTCCTCTTCCCTAACAAATACGCACTTCCTTTTTCCCCCCCTAATGGACAACACATTAACAGAGGATATTAGGAAATGATTATTCTGAATCCAATCTCCTGTGAATTCAACGAAACCTCTACTGTATACATCTTTGTATGTTTTGACAGACGCATATTGGACTTAAATATATATTGGAGGAAGATTCCAGTCCAATCTAGTTTTTTTTTAGTACGAAAAGAGCCGTCTGATGTAAAGTTATGAAAAATATGAGAGAAACGTTATAACAAGAATTTTCAAAGCCGAACACAGACACGATGGGTCGAAAAGCCTTGTTCGGGACTGTAAATTTCTACGGAACAAGTATGGTGACTGTCAGACCCACTGTATTACTTCGCCTCCAGGCAATATTGTAATACTGTTTGTATTATTTTCTTCACTTAACAAAATCAGCTATGTAGCATTCTGACATAACTGAATTACCACACACATTAACAGTAACCCTTAAAATATGCTATAAATGTACCAGGAAAAAAAAGGTAATTTTGTTGTTGTTTCTTAGTACTGGCGTTTATTTATTGGAAAACTAAAACATCTATATGAAATTACAGAACAATTGTATGCTACCACTCATACACAAAATGATCACTTGAACATGCTCGTGTTTAGACATAACTTTTGAGTCATACGATGTTGTGAAAGTTAGGGGAAAACGATTCCCACTGGTACAGTAAAAAGACAACATGTACTGCATTTGGGAACAGTTGTTCAAGTTAGAACGTGTACTGCGATTGATTGTTCGATTACTATTAGCTGTACATTTGTTATACTTTCATTTTTTTATTACCAAGTGAGATTAAATAAATAACATTGACGTAAACAACAACAATCAACGCATTGTCTGTGGGGAAAAAACGTACTTAAAGTGGCCACAATATTTTGAAATACAGTGCTTGAGCAGGATCTTTTAAAAATAAAAATGTGTAAATTTAAAAGGCAAGATAAAGGACAATAACTATGTTGTAAAAGTGTGCTGCTAAAGTGTTTTGAAGTTCAGCCAGGCGCCACCGTGAGGACCACTGTGGATACTCAGTCAGCAGTGGCCAGGGACAGCGTGGCAGAGGCAACACAAAATCGCAGCGAACACACACACTACACTTGTAGGTGCTTCGTATTAAATGCATTTCCTACCAGGCAATTCTATAATTGTTTTACTGAGCTTTTTTTTCAAAAAAAAAAGTTTCCCCCTGTCTCAACAAGAAAGGGCACAATATTATAATTCTCAATAAGAATTTGCGCGGAGGGTCTTAATTAAGATAAACCACAATCGTTTCTTAACATTCAGCCACTATGGCGGTCGAAATCCATATTTTATGTTTTAGGAATAAGGTGAATTCGCAGAATTTATTTCCGCTGAAGAACTTTCATTCCTCGTCTAAATTCCTCTATTAGATGGTCATCTTACGAGATGATGTGTGCTGGGTTTTGCTTCAATCCAGTCTCCAGGACTTAGGACTAGTTTAGTGCCGCATTGTGCAATCCACAAAGTGAAGCAATTGTAGATGACGTTTTCTGACCTTAAAGACCAAAGTGGCTGTTGCGTTTTGTACACAGGCCATATCTCGTTACTCTGCAGTTTTTAAATAATCATTGCGTTTAATAACTATGGCTGACGTATCTCGGGGATGACAATTTACCTGCAATGTGTGTTGTCATTTGCTGTTGGTTAATTGACATGGTCTCAATGCCAGCCTAGTTCTTTCTTATGTCCATTGTGTCCTCGGTGGACCTTGAGTGAAACTTGCTCAAGACTATTTGTTTTATTTGCTAAGCACCGCGCTGTTTAACATTACCAGTTTGACTGGAGATTACTGAATGTCAAACTTGCTTCGATCTGATATGAAACCTTTTCTATGTCCGATTTAATTAATTTAAAATGCGAGTGTGCTTTGCTTTGGACACAATCCTGACTGACAGTACAATGGAATCATCAACCTCGGGAGCACTCAAACCTGGGCTTTTTGGATGTCCAACGAACCAACTGGTGACTATCCTGAAATAAATACAGAAGTCGCTGGGAACAATCAGCACATCAGGCAATATCTATGGAGAGAGGAAAGAGTTAATGATTCAGGTCGATGACCTTTAGTCAGAAGTGTTCTATCAGAACTATCTGATATTACCAAAGATAGAGCCATGTATTATGGGGACGGGAATTGAAGAATGGTGTTCAGTTGTCTTGTCACCAATGAGTGGGATGCATCTGAATATTAAAAATCCAAGGGGTTGATTGGGCGGTCTTCAATAGAAAGGGAGGCTCAGGAGACGGTGCATTTAATACATGCTCGCCTCTGTTCCATAATTTTTATGTGCTGTTTAGAGTGCAATTCGGGATATAGAATGGTATAATTATGTTACATTTTATTCTTTAACAGCTTTCCTGCAAGCTGCCTTAGATGAGATAAAATTCATCTCACTGATACTGCACCATTGCCATTCTGTAAGGTAGTCTTTCATCTCCTTTTGAACACTTCCTGCACCTGATTCAATTTCTAGTGATGCAATGATACAACATCATGAGCATACAATCACCACATAGACTACAGTGGTTTAAAAAGAAGGCTCTCCTTCACCTTCTCAGGGAAACTCGGGATGGGCAATAAAGGGTGGCAAAAGGTAATGGTCAGAGTTCAAAGATGTGAAAAATTTGTGAAACATTGATTGACTGATTGATTGATTGATTCTCTTTTGCTTTAAGTCAATCCTCATCACTGGTAAGAAATCTGGAACCTGCTTCAATTTGGTTTGCATTTTGGCAAAATTAGCTTCATGGTAATTTCTTCCCACTCTCCAGTTTTTGTGATATTTGATACAGAAATTGTTATCAACACCTTTAGGATAATTTTGTTGTTTCACAAATGCAGATACGTTTCGTAGCGGAATATCACCCACTACGATTCTTGGATATGTTTAAGACTAAATACAACCACAACAAAATTAATTTGTATAGCGTCTTTCACGTCGGAAGAACGTCCCAAGGTGCTGGACAGATGGAGAATACACCAGCATATGAGAACATAAGAACACATTTGCTTGCTGTTTTGTGCTGGTATATTTGCCAAGGGCTGACAATTGTCAAATGGATGAAACTAATGTGCCTTTCCTGAGCCCAAAGTACTTTTATATGATTGAGAAGAGGTTAAATGGAAATTATAGTAACTGTATTAAAATTTCTAATGTGATTGATTGCAACTCACAAAATAACGCTCGAGCTCTCATTACAGTAGTTTTTTTTTAAATGAAAGTAATAAACACGAGAGGTGCAACCAATTTTCATGTTATGTTTCCTAGAATTCTGGTTCAGGGTGTGAGTGACTCATCTGCATATTCTTAATGCAAGTGGGGGAAGGAGAGAGAAAGATTTGCTGAAACATGTGCTGCAACGGGCGAAGAAGGGAGTTTGAGCTGAGCTATTAATACAAAGTTTAGATGCTAATGATTTGAAAGATCGCCGTTTCCAACGAGGAGTCGGCAATCACTTGTGAGGCGGAACACAGGAAAACAGGATTGTATTCGCGACTGTTAAATAAGTAATCTCGTGGCCACATCCTATTTGAGGCAACACGTTTGCACAGGAGGGAGTTTGTCGTCCAATTGTCGCAAAGGTGTGAACTGCGGGTAAACTGTGGGCTTCATTTCAAGGGGTCAATGAGAACATTCAATCTTGAAAGTCAGATCCTACTTTATGTTTATACTCCCAATTCGGAACCATCTGATGTTTTCCTCCGAAGACAAAGTCAAAAGTACTGATTTCCATTCCTTTGGAGCAGTGTTTTGGTTACAACGATTACCCTCAATGGCCGAGACCGGGAATCCTATTTGTCGGGAACGTCGATGCAAACCCGGATCGGAAGCACAACGTATTGGTACACCAACGAGTTTCCCCTAAAGAAAAATAATGCCGCGTGTGATGACACAGACGGAGGTGTTTTTCTTGTCGAGTTTTCAGGGGCTTCGGTTCAGGGGGCGGTCCGATCTCTCCGCGAGGCCACTCGGACACGGTGTCCCGACGGCGTCGTGTGGCAGTCCATCGGCCTCACCGCGTTCCGCCAACCAACGAAGATATACTGTGGCACCTCCTCCCCCCCCCCCCCCCCCCCCCTCCCCCCTCCCCCACCCCCTTCTCCTCCCCTCCCACCCCCTTCTCCCCACTCCCCCCCTCCCCCCCAAAAAAATTTCTTCCTCCCTTTTTAAATGGTCAAATTACAAATGAAGCGCAGCCCTTTCAAGACAACAGAGCGCGCGGAGAGAAGGACTCGTCGCCATCAGACAATCCAAAGCCACGCACCGGCGGCGGCGGCGGCGGCGAACGGGACTCGCGCCGCAGCCGCGCAAAAAAAACAGCAGCCGAGTCCGAGTCCGAAGCCCGAGTCCGAGTCCCGAGTCCGAGCCGAAGCCCGAGTCCCGAGTCCCGAGTCCGAGCCGAAGCCCGAGCCCGAGTCTGAGCCGAGTCCCGAGTCGAGCCCGAGCCCGCTCGATTATTCCACAGCCTCTGTTTTCCCCTGGCTGGTTCAGAGGGGAGTAGTTGCGCGCAGGCGCTATCGATTCACCGGGCTTCATTTCGGAAGGAAACGGCGCGGAGCCCCGCAAACATGGTAGGGAGACAGCACCGCCTGACCCGAGCCCGGCCCCGAGCCCGGCCCCGGGCCCAACCCGGCTCGGGAGTCAGCGGTTGGTGCCCCCCCCCACACACACACACAGCAAGTAAAAGGGGGGGAATAAACCCCGCGCTGCGCCAGACCGACCGACCGACCTCCGGCGCCTTTCTGCAGAGTCATGGCGCTGCAATGCCGGGCCGCGGCTCTAGGCCCACACTGGGTGTGGTGGGTCGCGGCCTCTCCAGCTCCCAGCTCCCAGCTGCCCGCCGCTGCTCTGGGCGATGGGTTGGCGAGTGGAGAGATGGACCGAGTTAGTGCTTCTCAGGGCTTCGGGTCAGTGCAACCTCTGTGCGGCGTTGAAAGTTGCCCTCAGTACGTATTTAGAAGCCCGACTGCAGCATCACAACACAGCTCAAGGCGCCATTTGTTTATTTCAAACACACACATATATATATATATATATACACACACACAAGATCGAACAATTCTCGTGCATTGTTAAGCATTGCTCAAACATTATTCACCCCAGAGTAAAACCTGGACTTTCCGTCCAGCGAACAATGATAGAAACTGCCTGAGCGAATAGGACTGAACTGAACACAGTGTCACTGCACTGAACCAACTCGATTGCTGTAAACCAGAACGTACATCTTCAGCGAATCCATTCGGCTCCCCAAAGGCAGTCCAGCTGCTTTACTTGATGGGGTTAAAAAGCAGGGGTGCTTGCTATTTGCTGGTGGGGCAACTTAAATGTATAAGGTTGCAAAATAAAGGAGACCGAAAGAGAAAATTGACAAGACCATGAAGAACTCCAGCGACACATTTCGCCGCACTGGCTGGTTCACTTGTGCTGTGTTTGATCTTTAAAACTGTTAACGTGATGGGTTGCATAAGATGAGCAATATGTGTAAAAGTGGCAGTGTATATATCTTATATATATGGAGGATTTATTTTTGCTGCTTTTTTCCACCAGTTCCGTAACCAGTATGACAACGATGTCACAGTTTGGAGTCCTCAGGTAAGAAAATGTTCTATTTTGAATTTCAATCATCTTTTCCCTCAAACGTGATTTAAGACCGTAATGGATATTCAGGGTTGTTCAGACCCAGGAATCTATTTGAACAATTCAGATTATATTTGAACCTTAAGGAAAAAGCTCAAGCTGTTTTCAAATGTTGTTTGAATCCTGAGTTGAAATGCTGTACATTTATGAAAAGCATTCCAGCTTGACCCTACTACAGTATTTACATTTCTGAACAGTCCTAAACAGGAGACATCTAGATTCAACTTGTTTTTCTTGCAGGGACGAATACATCAGATTGAATATGCTATGGAGGCAGTGAAACAGGGTTCAGCCACCGTAGGACTTAAGTCCAAAACCCATGCTGTATTGGTGGCTTTAAAGGTAAAACAATGATACTAGTTTTCACTCTATTGTTTAGATGCACCCTGTTTTGCTTTCAGAGAGGTTCATGTGGAGGTGCCCAAAAAATCAAGCCATCAGAAAGTATCTCTTCAGTTATAAAATATTTTTGCTGTTTCCAATTTTTTTCACAAGAGTATAAAGAGTATGTTTCTGAAACAGATTGACTTATGAATTGCAATATTTAAATTGAGGATCTCTGTTGGAGCATAACAGACATCAACAATTTGCACTTCTGTTGTGCCTTTTATGAAATACAGTCATCATTCGTGCTTATTATTTAAACCATTTTTATTTGTAGAGAGCTCAGTCTGAACTGGCTGCTCACCAGAAGAAGGTCCTCCATGTTGACAATCATGTTGGCATCTCCATTGCTGGTCTTACTGCTGATGCAAGGCTGTTATGGTGAGTATTTTAGTGATCTTTACAGACTAGCTCACTTCTTTTTAATCTTTAGTTAAAAAAACCTTTGCAAGAAGTTACAATTTTTCTGGTATAAAGCATGTGAGTTAATGATTAAAGTTAAACACTTCTAGTAATTAGCTTCTCACATGTTTGCCTACTGATTACATTGTTGTTACTCTTTATGGTATATCTAGTGAAGCGCTTAGAGACTTCCTCATGACGTGAAAGACGCTGTATCAAATTTAAGAATTATTTAAAACTTTCATTCCAAGACTTGATTCTTGAGGAAGATTTAATTACCAATAATCATTTCATGCATTATTAGTAAGACTCTGGTGGAGAATAGAAACCACACAAACGAATCAACAACTATTTCTATTATGAATCTATTTATGAAACTATTATATTACAACTATTGGAAATCAATATCCCTGTAAATGCTTTATTGCTGCTTTATTGAAACAGGTGGTGCTTACATTTGTTAGCTTTAATGTCTCTCTTTTTCTCTCCATAGCAACTTCATGCGGCAGGAGTGTTTGGATTCACGGTTTGTGTTTGACAGGCCCTTGCCAGTATCACGTCTCGTGAGCCAGATTGGAAGCAGTATCCTTAAAATGAATGTTTGACGTTTCTTTCTATTAAATATTTCTTACACACTGTTAAAAAAAAAAGTAACTTCTTACAATCATTTTACTTCAGTCCCAACCGAAACACAGTTATTCTTAGGATTCTTTAGTAAATATTGATGTTGTTTCTCTATGTTTTATGCAAATGAACTAGAGTTTAAATTCAGAAGTGTACATAATTGTATTACTTAGTAAGTAGAGTGATTATTCCTTAACTACCTTTGTATAGAAACTCAAGTTCCAACGCAACGCTATGGACGGAGACCATATGGTGTGGGATTGCTCATTGCTGGTTATGATGTAAGTTCACAATCACAGTATTTATGGAGTGTTCCTGTGTTCACAGCTTCAATTCTAGGGGCAACCTTAATAATTGTAGCAAGCTGCATTAGTGATTGTTAAGAGTGTCAACATCTGTCCCTTTCCTGCTTTCACAAACATTGTCTTCCTGCTTTCTTTATGGTATGAAATGTTACATTCACTTTTTATTAACATAATTTCTTCCACAGGACATAGGACCTCACATTTTCCAGACATGTCCATCCGCCAATTATTTTGACTGTAAGGCCATGTCAATTGGTGCCCGTTCCCAATCCGCTCGAACGTACCTGGAGAGGCAGATGGATCATTTCCAAGACTGTGAGTTTGCAAAGTTGTTTTGTATTCAGCAATTATTTCTTTTCCTAGGTTATACTTGTGTCTGTGCTCTCTTGACTTTTCTTCTTTTTATAAGGTAATCTGAATGAACTGGTTAGACATGGCCTCCGTGCTTTGAGAGAAACACTCCCAACTGAACAAGATCTTACTACCAAGGTATAATGTTGCCGTTCATCCTGAAGGATTCTTCAATATTCCATTCAGACTTTTACACAATGAACTTTTGGTATAGCACACTGCATTATCCCATTTATAGAAGTAAAATCCAGATCAGTGTAATATAAACTCCTAACTAATGATTCTCTCGCTCCAAATTTGTGGCAAATCAATATAGTTTTTGTGTAACTCATGGTGATATTAATAAATACAGCACATAATGGAAAATGATTTTTTTCTTACCCTCTAAATTGAAAAGGAACTATATAATTACATCTTACTGTGTTTTTTGCTGATCAGTAGTTTCTACATTTCTATATTTTGAGTATTTAATACATACTCCTTTGGATTCCTTGCTCCCATGCAAATGTTCTTGCACAGACACACACTGAACTGCATCAGTCACCTATTTGTCTAGTTTTTTTTTAAAAAAAGATCCAAATCATGTTAAACTGGTTGATTTATTCCTTGTAATATTCTGTCGATTTATTTGCAAACTAGGTTTTGCAATACACATGAAACGTCAAATATCTGTTAAAATAGTCGAGCGTGTGACAACTGACTGTGGAGCACGCTGATTGATCTCTGGAGCGCACTCTCCATAACTTGTTCTCCAATCATTTATATTAATTACTCTTACGTTTCAATGCCAGAATGTCTCCATTGGAATTGTGGGTAAAGAAATGGATTTCACCATTTACGACGACGATGATGTTGCACCGTTCTTAGAAGGTTTAGAAGAGCGACCACAAAGAAAGGTATGTTTTACTTTTTTTTTTAACTTTCTTTTTGATCAGCCAGGTATCCGACACATGTGGAAACCCATCACCGTGCTTAAGAGCATCCAAACCAAACTTGAGAATTTCTTGATTCCCACCTACACATGAAAATCCCAGAGATAAACATTTTCCCTTCATCGTCTCTAATGGGAGGCGGAGCATTATATTGTAGTACATATTGCAGTACATGTGAGGTGTTTACATTTATACTGCTGGAAGTGAAGTCACTTTGGCGCCGACAGTACTGCATTGTGGAATGGGAAGCTCTGCCTGTTGTATATTTTGTTCAAATGGGTAGGGGGTAGGAGAATTTTTTTTTGGTGCATGAGCACAACACCAAAAATTGGGGGATTGTGTTTTGGCCGACTTTTCAACGACATTGAATACGGTCCATTCAAAGTTCCCGAGGAGGCTCCACAGTTTTCCATGAACCTCAGGGAAGCAAGCCTAGTGTGATTTTCATCTGTTTTTTTCTGCATGGGTGTGAATCACATCACTCCCAAGTGGGGTTCCATGGTGATAAGTCTAATGCATCCTTTGTCTGGCAATGTCTGAGCCCCTGCCACAATTGAACATCAAACAAGAGCAACATTATTGTTCTACTCTCCCAGGATACAACCTCCTTTAAGTTGAAACCAACGATGTTCCGTACATTCACTGATGTGGAATTAACAATTTCTTGCAGGTCCCTCAACCCGATGAACCTCCATGTGAAAAATCAGACGAACCAATGGAACACTGATCTGTTGTGTGCTGTGCAACTGTATGTCTGCAGAGGCTGGTAGACTTGATACAGCATCTTCTATTTCTGTAAAGCATGAAGAAGCAAACGCTGAGTCTAGGTTGAAGGTTTCAAATTCATCTACAAAAAGTAACAAAATGTGTCTAGTTAAAAGCTTGATAATATTCAAGATTTGGTGGGCAGCCTAGATTTAGTGCGTCTTTTCCAGTCTGTCTTTGTGGGCAAGTTGTATTGTATGCACATATTTTGTGTTTCAATGCAAGAGTATACTGCAGCGCTGTACGTAAACAATTTGGAACTGATTATTTTCTATAAAGATTTTGCTTAACTTTTCAGAGCAGAAATCAACTGTAAAACCAATAAATGGTGTTTCCTACCAAGTTTCATAACTGTTTATTGGTGTGTGTTTGGGGAGTGGGAAGGTGTATTTTTTTGAGACTTATTTGGGGTCTAATGTGAAGCAGTCGCTTGATTATTTGGTAGATATTGTTGTGTTCCAGTGAGTCTCCTGTCTTTAATAAATGTCTCAGGAAAATCCATCACATTTAATCTATTTTGCTTAAAATTGAGATTTAAAACAATTGGCCCATAGGTATACCTTGGATAACGATCTCCATGCAGGCACTTTAACCCCAGTGACACCATGTTTACCTACCCTCCTTCCTGATTCAAGATAGGTGCACTGACTAAATAAAATTTATAGGTGATCTGGTTTAAAATCACCCAGACCAGATTCACTTGCCATCATTATAACTGATACTGCTGTGACTGTATTAACATTAAATTTATTGCAAATACTGTACTTGGTTTGTATTGCCCCAAACAACTTTATTGGAAATAAGTAGAGGAGTTTTGCATATTTATGTATTTGACTGTTTACCCTTCTGAGCTGACTGAAGACACAGCAGTAATTATATATACATGCATAATAATCCTTGCATTTGGTATAGCACCTAATCGAGTGTTATCAAAACACTTTATATATGATGCAAAGCGATTTTTTGATGGCGAGTGCACATATCGTTCACGTTAAAGTAAGCTACAGGGTATGATTTGGGCATAATAACATTGACACCTTTCACGTGAAAGTATGTCTCGTAGCGCTTGAGAAATTCAGCGTTTGGACAAAGTTGAACATATTACAAAAGAGGACTTAAAATCGGGCTAAAGCGCGTACAGCCGGGCAAATGTCCCACTGCCTTTCAGTCGCCCCTTCACAAAAAGGGGAGAAAAGAAAATAGAATTTTTTTTTCAAATCCACTTCTTTTTTTTGGTGGTGGGGGTGAAAAAAAAGTGCATCGTCTCCGAGTCAAATAAGCAACCAACCAACCAACCAACCAACCCCCCAAAAAAAGTTTGCATTTTTATTAAACCACAAAATCAGAGTTCGTTTAAAAGTCGGTGGGGGTGTGTGTGTGTGTGTATGGGGGTGTGTGTGGGGGTGTGTGTGTCGGGGGTTGTGTGTATGGGGGGGTGTGGGGGGGGGTGGGGGAGTGTGTGTATGGGGGGGTGTGGGGTGTGGGGGGGTGTGGGGGGTGGGTGGGGGAGTGTGTGTATGGGGGGTGGGTGGGGGAGTGTGTGTATGGGGGGGGGTTGTGTGGGGGGGTGGGAGGGGTGTATGGGGGGGGTGTGTGTATGGGTGGGGGGGTGTATGGGGGGGTGGGGGGATTGTGTGTGGGGGTGTGTGTGGGGTGGGGTGTGTGTGTGGGGGGGGTGTGTGTGTGTGGGGGGTGTGTGGGGGGGGGGGGGGGGGTGTGGGGGGGTTGTGTGGGGGGGGTGAGGGGGGGGGTGTGGGGGGGGGGTGGGGGGGGGGGGGGTTGTGTGTGGGGGGTGTGTGGGGGGGGGTGTGTGGGGGGTGTGTGTGTGGGGTGGGTGGGGGGGGTGTGTGGGGGGGGTGGGTGTGGGGGGGTTGTGTGGGGGGGGGGGGTGTGGGGGGGTGTGGGGGGGGGGGGTTAGGTTTGGACCTCATTACAGGAGGATGTTTCGAGAAGAGAGTGGGAGGGGAAAAAAAACGAGAAGCGAAGGGCGGACGACGACGACGTGTGACGTATGACGTGTCTGCTGCGCGTGTCCGCTGTCGGCCTCCGTTGGAGATTCCACGTCACCCCCCGAGCGGCGACCGGAGCCCCGAGAGAGAGAGAGAGAGAGAGAGACACCGACAGCGCAGCGCAGCCCCGGGGTTTGACCGGAGCAGGTACAGCCCTCCCCGGTGAGGATACGGGGTGTTCTGCAACCCCACCCCCCCCGCCGCCCGCCAGCGCCTCTCGCTCAGGCGGTCAGCGAATGGATCCCCGCAGACTGTGCGGCCTAGAAGCCAACTTCCAGTCAGTCAGTCAGTCAGTCAGTCAGGGGCCGTGTGTGTGTGTGTGTGTGTGTGTGAGGGAGAGGGAGAGGGGTGTCGGTCGCCTCCTCTCACCCTCACCCCCCGGTGACCAATGCTTTGTAAAGCAAATCCTGGGACGCGTATATATATATATATATATGTACCCATCACCCACACCCCCCCCCCCCCCCCCCCCACCACCCAAAAACATTATACTGACCACTGCACTCCCCGGGGAAGGTTGTTGGATTAATGACTGTGTTTCTCTTGTAATAATAGTGATGATGATGATAATAATATTCTCGCTGTTGTCCTGGAGACGTCTCTTCGGGGAATGCGCCGCACAGCGAATCGGCCGTCGGGTTTTGCGGGCGGAACGCGGCAGCCGATCGCGCACAACCGACCGACCGACCGAACGGCCGGGCTCCGACTCGCGGGTCGGTAAACAGAGCCGCGGCGCGGAGTCGAGTCGGGAAACTGGCCCGAACCCACGCCCGGGAATCGAACCCAGGTCCTCTTGCTCATGAGGCGAGTGCTCCGACCACTGAGCTGCCGGACTCTCTCTACTCATCCAATGGGTGTATTATCTGTTTTAGGATTTTATTGCTCTTGCTCAGTTTGTTGCTGAACTGCCAAGACCGGGCACGTCTGGCCAGGGAAACAATACAGTGAAACTTGCTTAAGTTTGATCTGTAAAAGTTGTTTCATTGCCAAAGCGGTACTTCTACCCAAGTCCCGATGAATTTCCTATTATATGTTAGTTGCACAAAACTCTGCATAAGTCATATTCAGTGTATGGTCCCAACTGATTCGACTTAGGTTCACTGTTCCTTGCTGGAGAACTAACAATATAGTTCTCAGGCGTTGAAACAAATCCTTTCTGTTTAGTGAGATTCTGTGTCCTTTTCTGTCCACTCTCATACAATGGTGTCTTTGGTTGGTTATCAGAAGGCATGTGAGAATGGGTACGTGTATGTTTCCCATCTATTTTCTTTATTGTCATTCCCTTCCCTTTCTGGATGACACCAGAGTTTTGTTTAGAGGGTTGAGATCAGGAATTTACCAGAATAGGACTTGCACCTACATTTCAACCTATGCTCCAGTGTGTTACACCACAGAGATGCATTATCTTTTCAATTGAGACGCAGCTCACATATGCTGATTCCTACCCTCCTCTTCTGGATTTGTGTTTCAATATTTTTTGTTTAGTTCCCACCAGAGTAAAATATGCTCGACCTGCTTTTTAAAAATTAACTTTTCACTTTTTCTTGACTTCACTCCAGCTGAAATAGATCCAGCGAGTAATGAAACTTCCAAGGTTCAGATAAAGATTAGAGGAGAAGCTGGAATGTGGGAAAGTGAGCACGTCAGTGAAAACATAAATCTATTTCAGATATCGTCTGTTATTGGATGATCTACAATTTTGGTGACCCAACATCAGCCTTGAAATGATAATGTAGAAATAATAGTGGGAAAATCCACATCGCTTTATTTGTCCTGTGTCTGTTGTATTGACTTTGTTTCGAGTTATTCCCACCTGGCTTGTATTTTGTTTCATTGACGCACATGTAGTGACGCCAGTGCAGTTCATTGTACTAAATGTCTTCCAAGTTTGCAGATTTTTCTTAGAATTAATGTGCCTGATAAAGTATGTTTTTCTACAGAAAGGACATTTGTGGGTGGTAAACAGAATGGCCTCACTTCTTTTCACTTTGCCCAAATTCATCTTCCATTTGCTGAATTCTCGTATTGTTGTAAATGCACACTTCCCATCTCATTGAATATTTCCATTGTGTCTTCAAACCCTTTTTAAACGTAGCTCCTTGGCTGGGCCAACATCCTCAATGTCCCCTGCTCAATTCTCATGCTCCCCATCATCTTTGCAAAGTGGTTTAAGATTTTCATCCCAGGTGAAAGATGCTGTGTTGCTATTACATTTTTTTTACATAACTTCTTGAGATATACTGTCTTTCTTAAGTCCGAAGAAATGTTGTGGTTTTGTTTCAATACCTTTACAACTTTAGCTTGGGCAGTTTTTAAGACTTCCCTGAGCAGGGCTGAAGAGGTTTTCAATTGGTTTGTCATTTTTAAGCAAAACAAAGTCTCATACGCAGGTCACATTTTCAATATTTCAGCTGTTCATCCAAATAGTTGATCAGGTTGAGGGGGACAGGGTTTCCGATGATGTTTGAGATCCAGGATTAAGTAGAATGGTGGATTTGTGGGTTAAAAAAGGCAAACATGCACATAGATGGATGCTCTACACGCTGGCAACACCTGAAAGCCTCACAACAGAAACAGCCCTTTGCCAATGTGCGTTCAAGAGTTTCTGGATTCAGCTGTTGTTTAGCAAGCCTGCCTTGCTTGCAGAATCTCCAAGTGTCTGAATCCTAGCTGGTGGAGAAGATGTATTCTCTGTGGCAATAGCAAGAGGCTTTGCAAAATGTACTCAAACTTCTTGTAGTTCAATTCACTTCTTGAAAACACAACTATAAGTGGTTCCCTTATTGAAGGAACACATGATTTAGGTGACAACTAAATTATTCTTTCAGCAGATATTTTAACTAAAACATTTTTGATTGATATTTTATTTTGAATATTTTTTATTTATTTAAATATAAAATCTTATATGTTTTGTGTGTTTACCCACAGATCCCCGGCTGTCTGAGTTTACTTGCTTGCTGACTTTAGTACCAGACTGGCATCATGACGGCTGCAGAGAATGTGTGTTACACCCTCATCAATGTTTCATTGGACTCGGAGCCACCGAATGAAGTTACACTCAAAATGGACTTGGGTTAGTGAGCGACGCATTTCTTACCAAGTTTTATTTTTATATTTTATACAACATCTGGAGCACCTCAGGGCTGCATTTCCAATCTACTTGAGAATAGAGAGAAGTCTGGTATTTCATTTTCCACATTCCTGCAAGGTTTTTTCTCTATAGCTAGGTGTCTGACATACATGGAAACCCATCACCGTTTTTAAGAGGATCTAAATTCAGTCTGCGAGTTCCATGTGTGCCACCCGCACGTGAAAATTCCTATGTATGGAATGAAATGCACGCTCTATCCCTGGAGGGAAGCAACCTGCTAACCTAATTCCAGAGAGTATTAGGCACAGGTCGGCAAGAGCCAAGGCTTGGGGCCCCAGAATGTGTGTTGGTCTACTGCAGGAGTAAAAGCGCAGAGCTTATCATTTAGAGCACTGTCTGGCAAGCTTCCCGCTGCTTGTCCCATCTTGAACCACCAAACCCATTAGTGCTTTGGCTCGCAGTTATAAGCAAAATGGGAGACACAATAATAACTGTAGTATTTAGATTTGGTAACTTCCATTTTTAATTGTGGAAAGTTGCTAAAGTGGAATAAAATAATAAATTAGCACGACAGGAGCAATAAGTTAATCAAGTCAACCCAATGGCCAACTTCTTATGGAAATCTTCATGCACAGTGAAGTAAAATCTCAGTGCATTATCACTGCATGAGACCCGCTGCCATCTGAATCCCAACAGTATCCTTACAGAGAGAAATCCTGGTAGAACTTCAGCTAAGCCTGTTATTTTCTACTCACCCCCTCCCATAGTGTTCGACTGGGTTGTGGGTTGGCATCTCTTCTGATTGATTCAGAAAATATTTCTGGCCATTTGTCTGTGAGGCAATCACTGAAATCGGAAACACTTAAGAGGGAGGATTGGCATGCATTACTGCCACCTTCCTCCAACATGTTGAGGAACGAACACGCTTAAGAACAGATAGATTCAAATGTGTTTCTTTACACTCACGGGTAGCAGCAAGTTTTGGCGGATAACGCAGCAGCGCAACCGGACCCTGAAACTAAAACCTGTCTCTTTTCTTCCCCACCAGAAAAGGGAGACGTAAAGATAAAGACTGATGCCCTGAAGAAGGTTATCATTATGATTCTGAACGGGGAGAAGCTTCCTGGACTCTTGATGACCATCATTCGATTTGTGTTGCCGCTGCAGGATCACACCATCAAAAAACTGCTGCTTGTCTTCTGGGAGATCGTCCCTAAGACCACCCCAGATGGGAAGTTGCTGCAGGAAATGATTCTGGTGTGCGACGCTTACAGAAAGGTAAGATTGTATTTTCTCGGTTGAAATCTTCGATCGTTGAAAAAGAATTGTGGCTCATTACGCAGACAAACCTTCCAAATATTGCTGATCTCCGCCTTACCCCTTCCATCCCCATGTTGAGGTTGCATCTGAAGGCCTTCCTATTTGTCCGTGCTTACAGTCACCTCCCCCCACCCTTCCCCCGTCTCAGCATTGTGCTCGGCCACTGTCAAGCGCTCTGAGACACTACCTTGCATGGGGCGGGGGGGGTGCGATATAAATGCAAATTGTTGTCGTTTCTTAAAGGACTTACGTTGCGAGAGGATCATTTCCACCAATCTTTTACACAGGAAAGTTTTCACTGCTTAGAAGGTGAAGGCTCTCCCATGCAAAGCAACTGCTTACAGATTTAATGGAACTTATATTAAGTCAGTTGTATGTCACGGTCCCAGTCTCAAGGGTCATAAAAGTCTGTGTTAAAGGAGTACTCTGCGATAAGGGAAATGCTGCCTTTGTTTGTGTGCAGTAATGGAAAATCTAATTTCTGTATCTGTCGTACAATAACATTAAATACCATGGTGTATTTTTCCCTCACATACTAGAGGATAATAGTATTGCCTTTGTGATTTATTTATTGAATTTTATGAGGGAAAGATTGTCATCCAAAAAAACCTATGGACTATTAAGCAAAGAAAGTATCCCACAATGCCTGAGAGGATACTCGTGCGTAGTTGGGGTTTGGCACGTTTCCCAGCCAACGTAAGCAGCGCTGTGCAATACCCAGCAGCAGAAGGAAGGGCTGTGCATTACCTGACATGAGTACAAAGTGCAAAAATGATCTATTATCCAGCAACATTCTTGTTGAGTGTAATTATGCACCATATATTAACAAGGACAAAAGTGATCGATAAACTCAGGATTAATGCAAATATTCCCAGACATTTGTGTCATCTGTGAAGGATGATAATTATCAAAACTTGCAAGGATTTATCGACTTTAAGTCCAGTCCCTTATTCTGTTAAATATCTGACTTAGATATTAACGGGTACTTACAACTTACAGGTAGCAGCATCATTTCAGCTGGTTAAATGCAACTTCCCATCACCATGCAAGCCATTTTGAAAAATAAACCAACTTTGCCCCAAGTGTCTATTGATGTTTAGGTTAAAAACAATTAGCCAGTTTTAGGGCGAGTTTCTGTCACCAATTAATATAACACAGGCTCATGTGACATACAAAGAAAGTGTCAAATTTAACTATTTCTAGAGATTTGTGATGCAAGCAAAGACATGAAGAGGTTGAGAGCTTGTTTTTATTTTTTTAAGAAGATCCTATTTGCGCATTAAAAAAACTGATTCCAGGTCTAACAGTGCAGTTGCAACAATGTCTCCTGCGAGTGGTAAAGAGACTAAACAGACCATTTGTGTGTGACCAGTGAGAGAAAAGATGGAGCTTCAAATGGGTCAGTGCATATTCTTGAGAGCACATAGATCAAGTAAGATTCTGGGACTTGAAAGCTATTGTTTGACTATTTTCAGGACCTACAACACCCGAATGAGTTTATTCGAGGGTCCACACTGCGCTTTTTGTGTAAACTGAAGGAGCCAGAGCTGTTAGAGCCACTAATGCCAGCCATTCGTGGCTGCCTGGAACATCGGCATAGTTATGTACGCAGAAACGCCGTGCTGGCTATCTACACTATCTACAGGTAGGTGCTTGGGTTTTTGTATTGTCAAACTGGTATTGTAAATGTTTTATATTTTTTTAGGGGGAGGGACATGATGCTTAAAAACTTTCCATTTAGAAACACTCGGAGGAGATATTTACAATTGTGGAAGTAGAAAAACTGTTCCTAATAGCCTATATGTTACTACCGGAGAGAAATAAACTATTCCTCTGCTTTTTTGTCCCTTATGCTACTGATTCGGGGAAGGCTGAATATAATAGTAAATAATAATAATCCTTGCATTTGATATAGCGCCTTATTACGTCGTTGAGACGTTTCAAAACGCTTCATAGAATATACTGTAAAGTGAATTGACTGTATATTTTGTGGGTGAAATGCGGCAGCCTATTGAGCACAGAGGTGTCCCACAAACAGTCGTGGATTGACCAATTTATCAATACTGTGTTCCCTGAATTCTTTTCGATCCACAAAATGTATCTGGTGGTACTGAACTTGTTTAATTCGGAGCAATGAACTACATTACCATGTGTATGTCATTGAGTTTCTGACCCCTTCTTTAACTACAGTGATCACTTCTTAACTGTAGGAACTTCGAGCACCTTATCCCTGATGCTCCTGAGCTGATTCATGATTTCCTGGTCAATGAGAAGGATGCAAGCTGCAAACGCAATGCTTTCATGATGTTAATTCATGCAGATCAGGTATGTTTAAAAAAAAGCTACTTCTGCAAATGTTTGACTTCTTTACAGATTATCCATTGAGATAGTTGAGAGTTTTTAAAAAATCAGTTATTGTCCCATTTCCAGATTCTGATCTAGAAATGTCAAAAATACAAGTTTTTATCCATTAAATACAATTGTATTGTGTAATTTCTTTCCTCAGGACCGAGCATTGGATTACCTGAGTACATGTATTGACCAGGTTCATACCTTTGGAGACATTTTGCAGTTGGTTATCGTTGAGCTGATTTATAAGGTATAATTATCAATTTAGTTTCCTTATTTAATTTATATAAGTATAGGAATGGAATGGTTGTGAAATAAGAAAGAGTTGCCAACCGTTTAGTTGGTGCAGATTCATTTCGATCCAACCTTAATTCGTTTGAGAGTGTGAAGATTTTACTGACAGGCAACTTCCAGTAATTACTTTGTACCACTAGACGGTGCTGTTATTTAAAGCAATTTTCAGCCACAGTGTTTATATTGTGGAATATAGAATGTTTGAACTTGAAAGTAGACTGCGCTTAGCAATTAAAAGTATTGAAAGTGGGCTTTGCTGATGGCCAAGTGTGTAAAGGTGAAGTCCTGTGAAGCATTGAGCCATCCTGACGAAGGAAGCTTCACAGTCAGACAGCTGGCTGACACTAACTCATCCTTGGTGGATTGCTGCTTGTGAGATGATGAATAACTATTGGTGTCCATGGGATTCTTAGCTCGAGGGTCAATATTTTCAGGAGATGAGAAGCTCAGCAACATTAAAAATGTGATCATAAATATTAATAATAATCCTTGCATTTGATATAGAGCTGTTCACGTCTTCTAGACGTCTCAAAGCATTTCACAGGATATACTGTGAAGTTAATTGACTGTATATTTGTGGCCGAAACGCGGCAGCCAATTGCGCACAGCAGTGTCCCGTAAACAGTCGTGGATTGAAGTGAGCAACTTATTGTTTTTGTTTTTTGTTTGGGGGATTATTATCAGGCGTGTGGAGTAAGGAAGCTTTGCCCAAGGTTTTGCCCTGCTGGGAATCGAACCCAGGTCTCTCGCTTGCGAGGCGAATGTTTTAACCACTGAGCTACAGGACTCCCATCTCCTGTGGCCTTTGCATCACTTTTGATGCTTGACACTGTCAAGTATTGACACTGTCATTGTAGAAATACTACAATCACTACAATGATTGAATGTATTGCAAAGTGCTTTAATAGTCATCTAATTGATCTTTGTTGCATTAGGTCTGCCACGCCAATCCGACAGAGAGAGCCCGCTTTATCCGATGCATCTACAATCTGCTGCAGTCTTCAAGCCCTGCAGTAAAATATGAAGCTGCTGGTACTTTGGTTACACTCTCAAGTGCTCCCACAGCCATCAAGGTACTGGTGTGACTTGCATCAAGGCAATTTTCAAACCGTCAAGTAGACCATGCAGACCCTCACTGAGTGTGAGGCCAGAGATATCATGAAAGGGAATTAATGTTACCACCAATAAAACTACTGGAGGGGAGGGGGGGTGAACATAGATTGAGTAATGGTCACACAAAATCGTGCATATGAGAAGTGATGTTTTGAAGCCTTTTTTCCTTCTGATGCATTGTTAACTGAGTTTAATTGTTCAAGCCAAAAAGGTGCACTCAATTCTCATGGCTCCAAAAAGATTTGCTAAGATGGCTCTTTACATTCTGTTGCCCCCAGGCTGCTGCTCAGTGTTACATTGACTTGATCATCAAAGAGAGTGATAACAATGTGAAGCTGATTGTTCTTGATCGCCTGATCGAGTTAAAGGAGCACCCTACCCACGAGCGAGTCCTGCAGGTAATAAATCCCAAACCGATATCCATCGCGGGGAATGATAACCCTGATAAATCGAGTTGAAAACTACCCTCTCTGCCCTCCACTCCTCCTGATCACATCCTCCTGCTCAGGTTCAAATCCCTGACTGTCCAGCACCTTGGGACATCCTCCCAACGTGAAAGGCATTGTACAAATGTAATTTGTTGTTGTTGCCCATCTAGAAAACCAACTAAGTTTTCTTTCTGGTTGGTTTGGTGACTGTCCATTCTGGCGTTTTAACTCGCCTGCTTTTGATGATAAGCTTTGCTGGTACCTAGGCTCGGCAACTCAGAAAAGCACTGCTGATCATGGCTTAGTGTGACAAACATCTAACCATGAGAAGATGACTGCAGACTGTATCATTTTTTCATCTGAAACAGATCTATGGTGTAGGAATAATGGGAAAATTGTGGCCTGTTTCAGGATTTAGTGATGGATATCCTGCGAGTCCTGACCACTCCAGATTTGGAAGTACGTAAAAAGACCTTGCAGTTAGCTCTGGACCTCGTCTCTTCCCGCAACGTTGAAGAGGTTTGACCTTCTACTGTTTCCCATTGAATTTTTCATTCAAACTTTTATTGTTCACTTTATTTAATTCACCAAATGTTGCCTCTCCGCAGCTTGTGATTGTGCTAAAAAAGGAAGTCATCAAAACTAACAATGTGTCTGAACACGAAGACACCGACAAATACAGACAACTTCTTGTCAGAACATTGCACTCCTGCAGCGTCCGGTTTCCAGACATGGCTGGTAGTGTTATTCCAGTGGTGAGTGACTTGTGGTTACTTGTGTTGTTCGACTTCTAACAAGTCGGAGTGCATTCTTGTTTATTTAAAGGAAATTGGAAACTAACGGGAGAACTGGAACAGAAATATAAAGCAACGTATATGTAATTCAGATTTGCCTTCTCCCCTTTTTTGATTCAGTAGTAATGCAGCTTGATACAAATCTTGTGACAAATGTCCTCTGATGTGTAACAGTTGGCTGTTGGAAAGATGTAATAATCTTTGCATTTGGTATGTAAGGATTATTGAATATTGAGTCATGAGGTTTAAAGAGCAATATTTGCAAAACAAGTCCGAAGTCTTAAATCCAACTTCCGAAAGCTTGCAAAGACTGGAGAGTGAATTGTCACCTTGTCAAAGCTCTCCATTTTGTTCTCCAGTTCTTCAGTCACACCGAATCCCCAAATAGAACTGAGGCTGACTATGGAGGGGCAAATTAGTGATTCCCATATCACCTCCCCCTTGTAAATATTATTTGATTCCAATGATTCAAAGGGCCTATTTTTTGTTTGCTGCTGATAGACACTAATAATGCTCAGGTATGGATTTAGAACTGACATGACTATGGTCTTCCAAACTAAATTTGACAGACAATACAGGTACTGCGCAATGAGCTTTTTAGTGATATCTTGCTCTCCCCACAGCTGATGGAATTCCTCAGTGACAGTAATGAGGCAGCCTCTGCTGACGTGCTGGAGTTTGTGCGAGAAGCTATTCAAAGGTTCGAAAGCCTTCGGATGGTCATCATCGAGAAGATGCTGGAGGTCTTTCACGCCATCAAATCTGTCAAGTAAGGACAGGACGTTTTCTGGAATGATGTTTTACACAATTACGCACACAACATCAGTTGCAAACACTTTGGATCCCAGGGCTTGAGAGAAAGGAGGGAATCAGTCAGCATTCCCACTTCTGAATGTTATCCAGTGAGATTTGCAGGAGATTTCGACCTGTTTTTTGAGGAGACGAGGGCTTGTTTTTTAACAAAACTTTGGGCTTCTTGCTGTCAGGGCTAACACGTGAAGAGTTGCGGCATGAGCGAAGAACAGAGAGCTACTGATATCTATAGAACTGTATTCCAGCACAAATCAATGAGAGCAGCTTTATGGGGAAGAGAAACTACATTGCTGAGTAAATATTTCCAGTATAGCAGATATAAACTGAAAATATTCAGTGAGTTTTACTTGGAACTCTCTCATGTTACAGGATATACCGTGGAGCTCTCTGGATTCTAGGAGAGTACTGCAGCACAAAGGATGATATTCAGAGTGTAATGACTGAGATCCGTCGATCCTTGGGTGAGGTATGTTTGAAAAGCTTTATTTTTTGGTTCTATCTGAGCTCCTCCGCAAAAAGCCCAAAAGACCGGGTGATGCCCATTAACAGGCTCCTGCTGTGTCCCCCAGCAAGATGGAGTGAGCCCTGCAGAGTGTATTACCTTTTAGTTAATTCAACCATGACTTGCTCAGTCTGTTAAATTGAGTCATGTACAGTGTCATGAAACCGAGCACTTACACTTTGAATCGCTTTTTCCTATTTATTTCTGCAAACTAGTAGACTGGAAACACACAGTTGAATTTAAGTCATTACTGAGAGTTCCTCTTATGTAAACTGTCCTTGATTTCTCCCCTGCGTTGCTAGATCCCAATTGTGGAATCTGAGATCAAGAAAGAAACTGGTGAGATGAAGATGGAGGATGATGTACAGGTGATTCCAACACAAAAGCTGGTGACCGAGATGGGGACCTATGCGACTCAGAGTGCACTTAGCTCGCGTCCTTCCAAAAAGGAAGAAGACAGGTAATGCTCTTTCTTCAGGTATCTATTGAAGATACAAATGGTATTTTACACAGGATAATGTGGAGTTGCTTTAAGGCTGAATGTCTGCAATAGTTTGCAGTGTGGCCATCATCTTGTATAGATACTGTACTGTACGAATTGCTAACATTAAAGGAGGCTTTGTCCTTCATGAAATAATTGACAGTTTACTTATGTTTTTTTTCCAAAAACTAAAGACCACCTCTGCGGGGATTCCTTCTGGATGGGGATTTCTTTGTGGCCGGTGCCCTGGCTACAACCTTGACCAAGATAGCTCTGCGTTACGTTTTAATAGTGCAAGACAAGAAGAAACAGAATGTAAGTAGTAATTGGGATTGCAGTTTGAAACCAAGCTTGATGGAGGCTTTTTTCCAATTTTGAGACAGTACTTTAAATTTGTGATTAAACATGAACACAGTACATTACAAATCCTGACCTGTTTGCATTTGAACAACTAACTGGCCGGGACAAACTACAGTATATTCGCCAATTTTTCCAGCTGAGATCTCGTGTGGAAAGCTTTAGCGGTTATCAGTGAGATGCTACTGTCAACTTTCTAAATGTGACTCTTCTCTTGCAGTCCTTTGTTGCAGAGGCTATGCTGATCATGGCCACCATTCTGCACCTCGGTAAATCATCACTCCCAAAGAAACCAATCACCGACGATGACGTGGATCGTATCTCGCTGTGCCTGAAAGTTCTTTCGGAATGCTCCCCCCTGATGAACGATATTTTTAATAAGGAGTGCAGGAAATCGCTGTCTCAAATGCTGTCAGCCAAAATGGAAGAGGAAAAGCTCTCTCAGAAGGTACTATTTATGTGGAGAACAAAGCGAATCAATTGCTGAGTAGAAACAGACGTTTTCTGCACAGAAGGAGGCCGTTTGGCCTGTTGCATCTGTGCCAACATGTCAGAGCGAATTGAAAACTGTAAGGCTTGTGTCTGCAGATACTCACTGTCTGTATTGAGACTGAATGAATATGAGTAGGACCTTTCCAATAATTTTTTTTTCTCTCCAGTGAGAAATCATTTAATCTTTCACCATGAAAGCAAAAGTTGAGTCTTACTAATGGCTCCAAGCACTCACTACTGGTTCAAAAATAGTGCTTTGGTGTTGTTATACTGTGCAACCTAGGTGATGGGTACAGTTCTATTTGCCAGTGATGCGGTACAAGTAAAGCAAACCTAAATGCCAAGAGGAGTTAAAAATAACTGGGTCACAGTTTTACATTTGTTGCATAGTTACGGTGCAGAGCTCTAGACAAAGAAGGGTGGCTACTGAAATAAACCGACAGGAAGCTGGTCGGAGTGACATTTTGTTGCTTTACAAAATATAGAAAGTGAACACTGTACAGGGCAGCCTGCACTTGTAGAGATCCTGGGATTCCACTTATCCTTGGGAGCCAGAGACATGCAGACCTTCATCGGAACATTTAGATTAGGGCACTCTTCTCTTTATACTTGGGGAAAAATAGTAGCCTGAATAGAAGTATCAGGTTAAACTGTTGTTTCCCAGCCACTTAGCTCTCCAGTAAAGTGACTTGTAATGGCTTGAAATTTTTTCTGAAGGATGTCTTTTTTTTTAACGGAGTAAGCAAAATGAAAGGCTTTTTGTGTCACCCGTGTAACTTGAATGCCTTCGTCAAGTTTAAACTGTCTTTCTTCTTGTGGGATTTTAGAAAGAGTCGGAGAAGAGAAATATGACTGTACAGCCAGACGATCCCATATCCTTCATGCAGCTCATGGCTAAGAATGAGATGTCTTCCAAGGAAGACCAGTTTCAACTCAGTTTGCTGGCAGCAATGGGCAACACACAACGAAAAGAAGCTTCTGACCCATTGGCATCCAAACTCAACAAGGTATATGAACAACAACAAATTACATTTATAGCGCCTTTCATGTCGGAAGGATGTCCCAAGGCACTGGACGAATAATTCTTGCATTTGATATATCACCTTATTACATCATTGAGACATATCAAAGCGATTCACAGAATATACGGTAAAGTGGATTTGAACTGGATTTTGTGAGCGAAACGTGGCAGCCAATAAGATATATCAATGCCTTATGAGTAACTTTTTAAAGTAGTGCATTGTACCAATAGTCATTGAAAGCTAAATGTTCTGTGCAAATAAAGTCTTTGTCCACAGGATAACTACGCAGCACTGTAGGCTCTTCTCATTTAAGTCAAATGACCGACTTGTGAAACTAATTTGCATTTTCAGGAGTTTTCCTTTCATTCTTTGAACAGCTGTTGCTCAATCAAACGGTTTTGTGTATAACTCTCCCAGTACTGAGTGTCAAACTAGGACTTGGTGAATTTGCTCATAATGGAAATCCAAATTTCTATATCAAATGTAATAACTAAAATAAGTGAATAATCATTGCGAACTAAATTATTATGTTTGTTCTAAAGAAATCTTGCTTTTGCAGGTAACCCAGCTGACGGGTTTCTCTGATCCAGTGTACGCTGAAGCCTATGTCCATGTTAATCAGTACGATATTGTTCTTGACGTCCTCGTAGTAAATCAGACCAGCGATACACTTCAGAACTGCACCCTGGAATTAGCCACGCTGGGTAAGTTGTGGCAATTGATAAATCTCCCAAGGTTTTGTGGTTTAAGGAAGGGAAGAAATACTGTGTCTGATTAAAACCACAAGCAAAGATATACGGTTGTCTGAACAATGACATACCAATTTGAAATGTTGCGCAGTTGAAATGGCCAAACACTGTCTGAGAATTGGTTACCAGGTCTGTTTGACTGGATCGTAAACAATGTTTCTTTCCCGAATTCATTTGTTATACAGTGCATTGACATTAAATTGCTGCCAGCTTGGTGAATGGACCTATAATTCCCAACATAAATAGGCTCAATTTTGCTGTTTAGTTTAAAAATATAAAACTACATGATTTCCTTTTTGTGTTAAGCCATTTGGCGAGAGAAAAAGAAGGGAGTAAATTCGAGGAAAAACGCATGGCATTTGTAATTTGATACGTAACTTAGTCCAGAGACTGGTCAATGGTTTGATATTCAAACATATTTTGTAAGAAGTGCTGGTGACTCATGTGAATGTTGTGTTTAACAGGTGACCTTAAACTGGTGGAGAAGCCCTCACCTCTGACTCTTGCTCCTCACGATTTTGCTAATATTAAGGCCAACGTAAAAGTAGCTTCGACAGAAAATGGCATCATCTTCGGTAACATCGGTAAGTCCAGAATATAACCGTACATTGTTGCTGAAGCAAAACCACTGTTTGTTATATAGAGAGAGGGATGCAGTTGCTCCAGCAAAATTGTGGCTTCTTGCTTTCTCAAGGGACATTGTGTGGTTTCTGTTGAATGACCAGACTTCGTCTTTCTAATTGAACTCGAGCTAGATTGCAAGTCTTGTCCTTCCCATTAACAGCCTTTCCGTATTGAAAGGATGAAATTGCCCTGGCTGTTTGTTGAGGTGTAGCACTCATCTTGTTCCTCTCACTCTTGTTCTTGTTTGTGTCAGTATACGACGTGTCTGGAGCAGCCAGTGACAGGAACTGTGTGGTACTGAGCGACATTCACATTGACATCATGGATTATATCCAGCCTGCCTCTTGTACTGATGCCGAGTTCCGCCAGATGTGGGCAGAGTTTGAATGGGAGAACAAGGTCAGTCGACCATTTTCTAAATAAGATGCGTAGAGCTTTAGCAGTTAATTGCATTGTCTCAACTGTTTTAACATTTTTTTAAAATTTCAGGTCACAGTGAACACAAACATCATTGACCTGAATGAATACCTGCAGCACATTCTTAAATCCACCAATATGAAGTGCCTAACTCCAGAGAAGGTGGGTGCTGTTTTGATATTAAAGTGCTTGTAATTACAAGTTTGTTCTAGGTTTTTTTGTGTTTGGTAATTTTAATATTGCTCAGTATTCAACCCAGTCTCATGTTCAGAGATAATTTAGCATGCTCTCTCCCAAGCTGTTTTCAGAAACCATACAGATTACGGGTGAAATGTTTCTCCTAGCCTTTATATTGAGGTTATTGGGTTTGTTTGGGGTTCTTCAGCTGTTACAGCTCAAATCAGTCACAGCTTGAAGTTTTAACATGTTAGGGATGCACTAGGTCTGTTAATTAGCGCATCAATCACCCCATTGTTCGTTGTGTGCATGATAACTCATTGAAGGTAAGTAGTCAGTGTCATTGTATTTGACTTCAACTTGTTATAAAACTCAAATATATCTGGACAAGGTACATCTTTTTTCATGGGTCTTGTAATTTTGCAAATACAGGTCTACTTGGTTTAAATGGGGGGAATGTAAAAATGTAATTTTTTTAAAAACATTTCCAGTTTCTCTGTGGTAAGAGTGAGCAAAGCTCATTGTTTAAATGAACTGCAATCAATAGTCTGTCACTGCAGCACACTTATTTGCCCAATTTGTATGACCATACCATCAAGCAGACCTTTTACACGTTTCCCTAAAAGGAGTTTATTTGGTTTTGTTTCAGCAAAAATTGACGCAATTGGTATGTTAGATATCTCCCTCTTAATATCTGATGTAAACCTCTTTTGTGTTTCAGGCCCTTTCTGGTTACTGTGGCTTCATGGCTGCCAACCTTTATGCCCGATCCATATTTGGAGAAGATGCTCTTGCGAATGTCAGCATAGAAAAGCCAGTTCACCTCGGACCAGATGCTCCGGTGTCTGGTCACATACGCATTCGGGCAAAAAGTCAGGTTAGTAGTTTATCCTGGTTGCAAAATAACTTATTTTAAGCAATTTGTACATTTATTTGCCAAACTTCATGTGCCCTTTTAAGTTTGAAACCAGTTAAGCTGCAATTAGGTCTTGGTTCAAAAACTCCAGGATCCAGTTGATGTATATTGTGCTTTGATTATATCTCACTATCTTCTTTACAGGGAATGGCTCTTAGCCTGGGGGACAAGATCAATCTATCCCAGAAGAAAACAAAAGGCTAGATTTTCAGAACAGAAGCATCTCTCCATTAGCTTGAAGTAATGTGTTCTGCTTATTCCTGTTATCTCTATATTTGCCTATACACAGAAGATCAGAGACTGTCTTTTATCCTGAGTATGTTGAAAAGAGCTAGCAGTTTTATGGCGCTTTTCATGAAATCAAGTTTCCATTATATATTTGAAGAATTATAGATTTTCCTTTTGTCTCTTTCGTGTCTTACACCTGATGTGTACAGGCTGTCTCTTGTTTTACACAGAGGTTTCTTAATTATAATAAAGATTACCAAGTTCCACAAGTGCACTGTTTTCATTGGGTCACAACTTCGCTCAGATCAGTGTACATCTGAAGAGAGATGGTTCAGTTGATAAATTTACTAACCGTGACTGAACTGAGGCACGAAGACCAAGAAAGATCAAGATTCTATATCTGAGTTAGGGTGGCTACAGCACTGCTATAATTGACCTCGGTGCACCTGCATTCAACTTCCTACTCTCAATTGACCCATGCTGAAGAGTACATATTTGTAAGTGGTAACTGCACAGTTTCAACTGTTCACATTCAGTTGGAATAAGTCTTCCTCCCTGTTAGGGCTTTGGTTTGTTGAGTTGAGGATATGCATATACTTCTAAGGCTCATTGATGAGCCAAACATTAACAGTGCATTGGATTACCGCAGACCTGAAGACAGCTTCCTCAACTGAAAATATTTTTTTGACCTGACATTTATTGACCACAAAGGCTTTTCAAATCTTTGTACAATAACTACATAATGTGCCTTCACTTTTTTTCTGGAGAACTCCATTAAATCCAATGTCATGTATTTATCCTGTGCAATAAAAGTGAATGTTATCAGTGCTGTTACTGGGGGCTTCCCCCCCCCCACCCCCACCAATTCGGCTCAGATGTTTAGGAGCTGAAATCTTCTATTGAGTAGTAGCAAGAAGTCGATGCAAATCAAACCTAGTTTTTCTATTAGATGGTAACCGAGTTTGGTTTGCAGTGCTTTATAAATTAGGTGTCAGCCTGGCTCAGGTGGTAGCACCCCTCACCTCTGAGTCGGAAAGTCGCTGGTTCAAGTTCACATTGTCTACACTTGCACTCAAATGCATTGCTGAGGGAGCGCTGCATTGTTGGAGATGCCGTCCTTTGGATGACAGATTAAACCACGATTCCATTCTCATCTGTTCAGGTAGATGTTAAAAACCCGTAGCACTACTCAAAAAACGAAAGAGAGGAGTTTCTCCTGGTGTCCTAGCCACTAATCCCCAAGATAACAATAAAATGCCCACTTGCTACACATAATTATAATCCTTGCATTTGATATAGTGCTTTTCATGTCTTCTCGACGTCTCAAAGTGCTTCACAGAACAGACTGTAAAGTGAATTGACCGTATATTTGTGGGTGAAACGCGGCAGCCAATTGCGCACCGCAGTCTCCCACAAACAGTTGTGAATTGAAAATGACCCAATTTATTATTGTTTTGTTTTGGAGGGATTATTATTAGGCTGTGTGTGGAGTAAGGAAACTTGCCCAGGGTTTCGCCCTCTGCCTGGAATTGAACTCGGGTGTATCGCTTGCAAGGTGAGTGCTCTAACCACTGAGCTACAGGATTTCACGTTACAGTAAATGGTGTGAAGTGAGTTCAGACATGCTCACAACATGAAAGGTGCTATATCAAATGTATGTGTATGTATTTTCATGCCAATATAGCTCTAACATCTTTGGTTAATGCATCAATCATAATAGGCAGTGCCTTCCACTGTAGTGATGTTACATAAAATTCAATTTTATTTTGTAATAAAATGTAACTATTTTGTAACCTCTGTTGAGATCACAGACTTAGCTTGCAGGGAATTAATTCTAGCACAAATCTGTGCCCCTTTACTTAGAGCACATTTGCAGCATCTCAATGCTTTTTTTCAAAAAAAATGCTAAAAGGTCCAGAAATATCCTACAGCACAGGAGGTCATTCGGCCTATTGTGCTGGTTCTGGCTCTTGGAAAAATCTATCCAATTAGTCCCACTCCCCCACTCTTTCCCCAGAGCTTTGCAATTTTTTTTCTTTTCAAGTAAATATCCAATTCTCCTTTAGAATGTTATTTCAAATAACCATTTTGAATCTGCTTCCACTAACCCTTTCGGGCAGCGCATTCCAGATCGTAACAATTTGCTGCGTAAATAAATGTAATCTCCCCTCTGGGTCTTTTGCCAATTATCTTGAATCTATGTCCTTCATGACACTCAACATTTGGAATATGTCTGACCATGAGGTTCATATTCTTTTTCCTCAGATGTGCGGTTGCTACATCTGGGATGAGTTGTTAGATTATGTTCTCTGCAGTTTTCACTTTGTGCTTGAGTGCCTCCAGCTTATGAGTAGCAGTAGACTTGGCAGAGAGAGTACTCAGCTTGGGTGCACCATGTGCAATTTTCTCCTATTGTTTCGCACTAATGAGGCACAGAAGGAATATAAGTGGGTATCTTTGGTGGAAGGGCTTGGAGTCGGTGTTCTTTGGACCAGAAAAAAACTTGTCTCTGTGCCCGTTTTCTGAATGAAGCCGAGCCAGCTACGGATGCTGACTGCTACTGTGAGCGGCAGGTAGCTTTGAAGCAAGGAATTGGCTTTGTTTCTTCTTTCGTTGACCTACCATCCATGAAATTAATGGATCAATAAATAATTAAATCAAATAATCAAAAATACATAATTGTCTTAAATGTAAATAAAATAATAATTATTATTATTACGGTCACTCAATCCACACACTGCTGTGGGCCGCATTTCGCCCACAAAATATACAGTCAATTCACTACAGTATATTCTTTGAAACATTGAGGCATCTCAACAACATAAGATGCTATATCAAATCAAGGATTATTATTAATATTATTACTACCATCATGATTTTAGTTACTCCACGATTATACTCTAGCCGTGCCTGTTTGACAGTATCCTGCAGAATTAAACTATTTTACACTGCACCACTTTATAGGCTGTATGCCACTGGGTGTCAATAAACCTTTTCACATTTGTGAATCCCACATCAAAGTTTTCAAAGTGTTCATACAGTTCCTGTTCTGAGAAAATACGCAGCTCAATAAACATTTGCTGATGGAACAATGTTATTGCAAACATACACTGATCGCCAACGTAACTTCTGAAAATTATTGTGAGAAAAGACCCTCATTTACATTCCATGACTACAGATCAAGGCTGACTTCTCACTCGGATGTGTATAAGGGCACAACATGTTTTGCGTCTTTTATTTTCTGTGCATTGTGGTTAAAAAGCTGAGAGAAACAGGTTACTGACCCATAACTGCAAGCATATTACATTGCTTCTGACCTTTTAGGCATCTGTGGTTTTCAAAATGGGCCAGTTCAGGTTATGCAGAATCCCTCCTTACAAACAGAAGGTGCAGCCATAAGATGTGATGATTGTGAAATTCTTTGCCTTGGGCAACTGGACAAAAGATCCAGTATTTGTTGGTATGTCTACACTTGTGCAATCTGACGCTGCTTTACATTGGGCTTGTACATTGCTATAATAATAACAAATATAATAATAATAATAATAATAATGCTGGGGGTGCATGGTGTTGATATTGGATGATATAGCTAGGAGAGTGTTGCATTTCCCAGCGCTCACTCAAGGGGTTAAAAAGCTCCATTCATTCTTTCGCTGTCGGGTTTGTGCAACTGTCAGTGCTGTTTGCATTGGTGCTGTGGGTTCTTTGCAGAGACTGCGTGGTGGTCCTGAAGATTCCACAAGAGGGCAGCATTCACTGCATGGCCCCCTGTGCAGCAGTGCAGGAGAATGTGTGCGCTGGTGCAGGGTCAGGATTGTCAGCGACAGAAGTTACAAACGTAGGGGAACGAGAGAGGGTTAAATGGGGGAATTGAACGGCCGCAGGTAACACTTGCAAGAAAAAAAAGCCTCTGAAATGTTTTTCTTTCCCATCGAGCAGAAAAGTTCGGAGGAGACTCAACTTCTATTACGACCAAACGTCATTCAAACAAAATATGCCCGCAGTCACAAACCAGCAGAAGTGGTCAATCCTTAATTCACCATTTGAAAAATGAGAATCGTATTTTGTAGACTTCAGAATGTGTAACAATGCACTACGTGTCCTCAGTAATGCAGCACGCAACACATCTTAACAATAATAATCCTCGGGAGGCCTTGGGACCTCGTCCCGACGTGAAAAGCGCTTTATAAATGTAATTTTGTTGTTGTAATAATTGCATTTGATATATTGGATGTCTCAAAGTGACTCACGGGATTTACTGTACTGTGTAGTGACTGTTTAAGCGAACACAGCAGCCAATTTGTGGACAACTATCACCCATGAACAGGTATGAGATGAATGTTTTTTTTAAAATCTTTGTTCTTATAGTAATAATCTTTGCATTTGATATAGTGCCTTATCATATTGTTGAACCATCTCAAGCAAATCTACTGTAAAGTGGATTGGTGGTTTACTTTGTGGGTGAAAAATAAAAGTTAAAGATTTTCATAATATCAGTACCCTCCCCCACAATCGGGTCATCTGAGACCTGCTACATTTTGTGAGCAGAAAGGCATTGAACAACATTCCAGGTTAAGGTTCATCCAGAAGGCTGCTTCATAGACTCACCACAGCAATAATAATAATAATAATCCTTGCCATTGGATATAGTGCCTTATCACATGGTTGAGACGTCTCAAAGCGCTTCACAGGATACACTGTAAAGTGAATTGATTGTATATTTTGTGGGCGAAATGCGGCAGTAATCAGGTATTTGTGGATATTGGTGCCAGATGCAGTCTTTAAAGCAGAACATGATGAAAATCTTTAACTTTGCGGTTTTAAGAACATGGATTTGTCTTTTTTTAAAAGCAAAAGCGATCACAAGTGCTCAAAGTTACATCACTGAGTGCATAGGCCGTTTTTTTAAAAAAAAATAGGATTTGGGGGCAAAAGGTGGATGGAGTATTGAACGTGTTCACAAACAGACTGTCTACATTGTCTTTCCCAGAAACTCATGTGCCCTGACATGTGCTGGGAGCCAGAGGAGAAAACAGAAACTCAAAGAAAAATCAACGGAACCTAATAAGAAGGATGAGAACCAGTGAAAATGCTCACCACCTGCTTCCCCCTCTTTGCCCATCTTTACCCAGCTCAGCTGCACATCATTGACTGTCCAGCGCTTTGCGACGTCCTCCTGACGTGAAGGACGCTATGCAAATGTAATTTGTTGTTACTGTCTTCAGATTTTACCCAGAGACTTTCCTATGATCACCTTCTCTTTCTCCCC